GGACCCGACGTCCATATAATTGTAAGTCAATGACCACAGACCACATAAATACTAGTAATTGTAATTATGGTGCATCTATTGGATAAATCTAAACTAGTATTGTAATTTTATTTTGAACAAAATATAACAATAATACAATATAATAATAAATAATACAAATATAATAATAAATAAAATATAAAATATTATTATTTATTAAATTTGCCTTAAATTTATTGGGCTGAAATGATAACAATGATGGTGAATTGGTATTGAATTGATATTAAATTATTTTTTGTGAAATTACTCCACTAGTTTGTTGTAATTATTAATACAAAGATCGAACACTCAGAAAAAATCCTTTGAAATCTTTGTAATTGTATGACCATGTTGGTCGAAATAAATAATTTGTTATATTATTATAACTGTAAGGATTCTTTGATGCTTTCTTACTGTACGTGCATGATGTATTATTATGCAAATAAATTATTATTATTATATTAGTAACTCTCCTCTTTTTGCGTCGAGGGTTACAAAAAGACCAAGTCTTAGCTATAATCTCATTTGATGTTAAGCGACAATGAGACGGAAGATATTAAGACATACTACATTGGTTCTTTGTAGTAGAAATATAACCGAATGCGCATTTAGAAAAGCCCTGTGCCTAACAGTAACAATTATAAAGTGAAATTACAGTAATATCTGATTTTTGTAAGAACAATCAAAATGTAAGAACTTTAATTCTACGAGTTACACCGGTTTTCCTAAGCCTATTTAGTGTTTGATATGAAGTCATTTAAATTTTTATCAATAGATACAACGAACAGTGTACGCCCCGTAGCGCCTGCGCTAGTAACTGCGCACCCATGAATTTATTTTCACTTGGAAGACAGATATGTTAGTTGCAAGTATAGGCTATTCGTACGTTATCCTTTTAAGTACACATTTCTACATATTGTAGGAAATGTCTTTTGTCACAATCGTAGCAAGCGGAAAGATCCAAACGGCCTAACATTTTGGGAAAATGGCGTGTAGTGTATGTATAATGATTACGTTGTATAGAATAACGGCAATACTCTGTCATATAGATTTAATTAAAATATTGTACCTTCAAGGCAACCATCGGCCAATTTATTATTCGAATAAGCTCAAAAAAAGGTTGAATAATTATAACAATGGGAGTAAGTGTAAATGAAAGGAAGGTGCAGTATTTTGGCCACGTAATGAGGGGCAATAGATACTGAATCCCTCAATAATAATGCAGCGGAAAATCCAAGTAAAGTGGACTTGTTGCAGAAGAAAAACCTTGTAGTGGAAGACTGGTTCAATCTTAGCATAAGTACATACCCTCATTCGTGCAATAGATTAAAAAATGAGTGGCCAACTTTCGTAGAAAAGCGGCACACTAGAAGAAGAAGAATGATAACAGTATTCGTATAACCCTTTTTTATGATAAGAACGGACGGGACGAACAAGTCGTGCACCTAGTGGTAAGCGCCACTCAGGGCATTAAACCGCAAAGATCTAAGGACCACTACCGTTATGTCCGCCACCCTGTAATTTCACCAGCACCATTACCCATCAAAACCGGAACGCAGTAATACCTACTCACATTAATATTTTTCTTCAAAGTTAGCATTGCCTCTGCTAACGACAAATCGCTAAAAAGTTACTCTGATCAAAGTCAAAGTCAAAGACAAATAATCATTTATTACATATGTAAAATTTTTACACTTGAAAACGTCATTTTTTAAGCTACTGCTCGTTCACTACGCAGACCTCCTTGAGAAGAACGAGCAAGAAACTCCGGGGATTGATCTTTTTAAATAAACTTAAATGCTATAGAAGAAGCACTTTGAATCATATTTGTGTGGAATCTAGACTCACGTTGTCTTTCCATACATCATTTTCTAACACGTAGTCTACAATTTTTTTATATGACTTTTCAATTAAAATACTTTTAATATAAGTTTTAAACTTAGGAAATGGTAATCTTGATATATGCTCCGGAATCTTATTGTAAAAACGTATACAACTCCCCAGAAAATAATCGTTTACCTTAATTAAACGAAAACATGGTACGGACAACGGCACATCAGACTACACGTTTTTGTTCGAAAATTGCCTCCAGTCAACGGAACAAGATACGTCAATGAGTAGCTTGATGTGCTGGCGTGTGTACATCAAGAGCACATCAAGCTTGATAGTTTGTACTTTGGACAGTTCTTATCGTAAGCGGCATAGAGTAGGATTTAAGTCTTAAGTGTAAAGCTTGACGTGCTCTTGACCCTGTATCATGAGTTTAGACTTAGTTCTAATGTTAATATTATGGATATCTTCTTTCTTAACGAAATTATGTATATATTTTTTTCTAATTATTGTATCAGACTTGGAGGTCCCGGGTTATGGCTTGCCCAGACGACTCCATGGGTACCATGTTCATTCCTTAAATGTGACTCGATTCCATTTTTCTGTCTTTTTACAGTTCACAATAATAGTAAGACAATTCAACAATTAATTTGATTCGTAGTTGTGTTAGATTATATAAAAATGAATTTAAGAATAATTTTTAGTATCCTTTTTAAAGTTGTATGGTTCGTAAATGATTATCACTAGTATCAGGTTTCTTAACACGGTATGACTTCTTTTTATTACTGCACGCACTAAGGACCGGATTCCATGCACTGGACAGTTTAAAACCATCATCACGGTTAAATGTTTTGTACTTCGTGATCTCGATGGCTTCTCGTACCAACCGTGGTATGTAGTGACGTTCTGTCGAGAGTACCTGGGGGCTATGCAACTCGATCCAGTGGTTAGTGTTAGTCTGTGTGAGATGTTGTGCTATAGCCGACTTCTGTGCATCATTGTTTTTTACTGCTCGGATGTGTTCCTTCATACGATCGACAATTGTTCGTTTAGTCTGACCGATATACGAGCTCCCACAACTGCAGTTCACTTTATAGACACCCGGTGTTTGTAAAGGAAGGTCTTTTGGTGAACGTAACATTTTTCCTGTTTTGGTTAAGGTGAAAACAGTTTTTATGGAAAACTTCCTTTGCGACCTGGCTATTTTATCTGTCACCCCTTGTACATAGGGCAGAAAAACTGGTAGTCTCTGTACGTCAATTTGCTTCTTCCTTTTGTGTATTGGTTTAAATGTTTTTATTTTGTATCCATTCTGTCGCAAAACCGTCTTAACGTGCTCCTGTTCCTGTTGTAGGTGGTGTGAATCACAAAGATCATAAGCTCTATTGGTTAATGACCTATTAATGACCTGAAATATCCGGAAAATAAAAAGAAGTCATACCGTGGTAAGAAACCTGATACTAGTGATAATCATTTAGTGAATAACCACGAAAGTCTTAAAATCTATATTGTATGGTTCGTAACTGGAGGTTCCCGCTCTCCCTCCGCCATCTGCCGAAATAATCGCTGTCAAACATCGAGTATACAACCAGAAATAGACACGAAATGTCATTTCATTTGTTTGAAAACTATTCTGCCATATCATTACTGTGACAACTGCGCTCCAATTGGCTAGCCCGAATTCGAAACGATTGACGGTTGTCGTCAATGGGTGTCGTCAACTGTTTCACTTCAAATCGACCAGTTAACTTGAGCTTTGCTATAATGGACAAAAATTGCAAAATTACATATTTAGAGTTAAATTATAAATATTATAATATCATTTGTTCTAACTATTAATAAAATGGGTTACTAACTAAGCAAAAGAACTGTCAAAGAGCTTATTTATCCCTCTCGTTCCGTGAGCAAAAAGAAATATTATTGTTTTCAGAAAGATCATATTATTTTAATGTATATCTGCTGTTTTATTTAGTCAGAAGATTTTAACTTGTTATAAAACAATAATCAGAAGTATTGATAACTCGAAAATACACTTAATTGAAATTCTTGATTTCATATCTTTCAATGTCATTTTGTGTAATTTTTATAAAGGTTATTTTTTTAATGACAATTAGCAAACAGCCCGCATGAAGATAATTTTGTGTAACCTTCAAGAAATAATTATTTTATTTGATTCACTTTTTTAATCACGTAAAAAACGTAAAAAATTGGTTTGTAGTATTTCTATTTCAGTTTCCTGTTTATATTCCTGTTACCATACAGGGTGTAATCGTTAAATTTGACCCACGTCTGTAATCCCGATTTTTTCGTCTCATACAATGAAATGATCCTTGAAATGATCCATGATCCAAGAAAACTGAGTCGATCAGCACAATAAATTTGATCAATTTTATTCATTTCTATAGACAACTCACAGTTGACCAGATAATTGACTATGCCATTACATTTTTATTTAATTAAAAGATACTATAATTACTTTATTTATAGCTGTTTTGTCAACTGTTAACTTATTGTTACCTCTTACAGTAGGACAATTAAGACCTCTTTGCGAATGTTATATTAAATGTATGGGAGTGTTCAATGTTGAAATTTTGGATATTTCTAGTTTTATTTTTAATGGCCGCCATACAAATTTCGAAGCCTTCTATAACGGAAACTATTAGAGATACGTAGGAAGTGCTGGAAGAAATGTCATAGAGGGTAATAGTGATCAACTGCCTATGTAAAAAAAATTGAAGATGGCGAATCCAAAATGGCGGTCGCAGAAAAACTTGCTTCGATGCGACTGAAAATTGGCAAGCGGGAGTCTTTAGGAGTCCTTAATTTTTTTTATGAAGTACAACCTATTTAAGATAATTACTTTTCTAAAAAGAAAATTCACTTTATTTCAAATGTAATGGAACATAAGAGTTTATAATATTATGATTTTCTAATGTTCCTGATTCATAGTGTCAGTAATATTTACGGTTTTTTAAGTTACTTTTTTAATTAGTCTAGACTTTTCCTCGCGTATTTTTTTTTTAACTTTTAGAACTAGATTAGGTAGATTTCCTTGTTTCCAAGATCAGTAATTAGAAGAAAAATAATGTCAACGTCAAAATTTTTAGATTTTTAATTTGTTTTGTTTACGTTCTTTCGGCTTTCTGTGAAGTAGTTCCGCGATAAGTATCTGGCATTCCTTATTTCCTTGACAGTCAAAGTAAAAGATAAACTGAATTTGTTATCTATTGTTGCGTGAGACAAATATTTACCATGGAGAACCTTAAAAACATATGGAAACCGGAATGTATGTTGTGTAAAATTTAAACAGAAACAAATAGGAAGTCTGAATATTTGTTAATGACTTTTGTTATTTTCCCTTTATTATGTAGTGTATCGCATACAAATGGAAGCTCCTACACCTAAAAGGGTTGTCTGTGAAGATTGCCTCGACAGGCCAGAGTTCTATGGAAAAGAATATCATGGAATAATGGGACATAAAGAAGCCGCACATTTGCTTGAAAACGAGCCCAATGGTGCCTTTTTAATTAGAAAAGGTAATGAGATTAATGATTTCTACACGCTGACTTGGAGGTGAGTTGTTATTAAGTATGTCTAACACTGAGTAGTAGTCAGTGTGTACAACATTGAGTATATAATCAGAAATAGAGACGATATAATCCATGCCTGGCAACTCATCAGGTAAATGCACCTTATATTACTTTAAATATTAACTCTCGTTTGCACTGAAATCACAATTTAGAAAGCTGAAATGTACAGCACCAATAACTGACCTATGTGTGTGTCTCTGTATATTCCAAAAATATTCTGTATTTGTTGTAATAAATTTAATATCTCTAATAATGTGGGGCTGTTCCATTTGTTGGTGTGGGAAAAACAGCAGAACATCTAATTACAAAACAAATGGAATCACATTTCATTGGTAATTAAATATGTAACTCTATAATTTTCGCCCATTATAAGCTCAAGTTAAACTGGTCGATTTGAAGTGAAACAATTGATGACACCCATCAATTGTTTTGAATTTGGGCTGGCCAATTGGAGCGCAGTTGTAACCATAATAATGGAAGAATACTTTTCAAACAAATTAAATGATATTTCATCTCTATTTCTGGTTATATACTTGATGGTGTACAATAATGCTGCAAAGCGTTATAAATTGTTCTAATAACTAGAAGAGCTTCACAGGCGCTATTATACTTTAGATATATTTCACCAATTATCTTGCAATATATAATTTTATCGTTATCAAGGGACGAACAACTTGTATGCTTCGTGGTTAGCATCACACTTAGCTAAAACAATTGCGATGCTACTCATAGCTTTGCTCACTCTTTGCCAATGCCTGCTGCATCTGTCACCCTGAGTCATAAAGTTGACAAATTCCCATATTGATGCCTTACTTTCTTAAACTCGTAACTTAAAAAGAGTGCTTATTCAGGAGATGGCAAATCTTTCTATTTATTTTAAATTTCTTATCAGCTTGCAAAATTTGTATATACAATCCATTTTTGACATTTCAATAACTTTGTGCTTTAAGATACGAGTTTGAGAAAGTAAAGCAATGATATGCCTGTAGTTTCACCAGCATTTCTTCGAAATGAGAATGCAAGAATGCATGTATTAATTCTTGCTTGATTGCAATGACCATACATTGTGGGGCGAACTGTTTCACAATAAGCTCTACTTCTACTTAAATTGTATGTACATTAATTTGAAAGCACAGGAATGTACCTCTGCATTCTAAATTTTCTGGATGTATAGCTGAAATCTTTAAATTCATATTGAATTTCCTCATTGTGGGCTTACATGAACCTTTTTCAAATAAAAAAAGGTTAATGACTATTTTGAATTCAATGCTGACTGGGTTAGTGTATGCTGACACCACAATTTATAAGATATACAAAATAAACGTATATTAACTTCCTAGATTCAACAACCGAATACACCACTACAAACTCTACTATGATGGCACACACTATATAAAAGACAAGCAGTATGATACTATCTACGATCTGGTGGCTGATGGTCTAATCACCTGTCACATGGAGTTGAAAGCCCATCATATACTGGAGATGATCAATTCACGGACAAATTATACTGATAGTCCATATGTTACACTAAATAGGAGGAAACTTAATACTTTAAGTAAAATGCAGCAGTGAGTACAATTTCATAACGTTTTCAATTCAATTAAACACTTTGGCAACTAAATTCGTTAACGTCGCACCTCCATTAATGTGAACTTTTGAGTAGGCGCATAAAACGGTATTACTGGAAATAATTATAAGGCAATCTATGATTTTACTGTTATTTTATAACTAAAAAAGAGAAGAGTCTAGAAATTATATTTTATGCTTTCATTGCCCAGTATTGCTCTAGAAGGGTAAAAAAGCGACTTCGTCCAATAACGGAGTTACGAGGTTTTCAAATTTAGCCGACAACTTGCTTGAAATTTGAAATAATATTGTTCAAAAGACAACAGCCAAATAGTGAAAATAGCACTCGTTTAATAGCATAATGTCTGTCACGACTCCTTTAAATACTTTCGCCATGGCCACCTAATATATAAAAAGAAAATAATAATCTTTTACCCTCTCAGAAATTGTTAAATAAATATTCAGCTGTGTAATTTATACTACCAAAATATTACTTAAGAATAAATATTTACAGTGATTCAAGTAATTTGTTAGTTATAAAGTCAAGGTTAATATTACACCAGCCTGGACTCTATGTACGGTGTGTGGACTTGTTTCACAACTCACTTAAATTATCATAAGATCCAAAATGGTTGATGTTGTACATGCGAAAGGTAACAGAAATACACATTTTCAAAAACTGTTAGGAAAAGCGATAAAAAATCGTTTTCTTCTAGGGTGTCAAAACCATCTTCATCATCTTCAATCATTAATAAACCTGAAAATAAGCTGGAGCCGGAACCAATTAAGAAAGCAGTTGAACTAACACCAACTCTGGAAGATAACCCTCTAGTGAATAAGTACTCTAAAGCACATGGTTTTAAGGTACATACTTTCAAAGGCTTGAATTGGTGTGAACTTTGTGCAAATTTTCTTTGGGGATTTACTGCGCAAGGTGTTAAGTGTGAAGGTAAGAGCATTACAGATGAAACAAAAAGTAACCTGTACAATAAATTGCTGTCATTTAGAGAATAACATTGGACCATTATGTTGATTATGGACTTATACATAATAGCCGTCATCTAGTTGTTAAATCTGTGTCTGCGGTCGCTATAAATAAAGGAGCTTCAGGTAAACCCAAAATACTTCGAAGTACGATTTAATTGTGAAAGGTAACGTATATGAAAAACAACAATTTAAGTACGTGCTTATCGTGAGAAGGTGTTTCCTTTACAAAAACGTTAATAGACGCAAAAAATCTCACAAACAAAAGCCTGGTGTAACCCTAATAGCAGCATTGTACTTTGGAGTTCAATTAGCAGCGGTTTTTTTTACAGGCTCTTGTTCGAGCGTCTTCAAATTAGACGCTTATAGAAACGCTGCAGAGGTGCGATAGCCGTGCCACTATTAATTTTCATACAATATTTAGAAATTAAGAAAGAAAGAAAACTGTTTATTACACAAGCACAGAGACGAAAATGCGGCCGGAGGTTCTAAAAAAACCGAAATGGTTTTAAAATAATTTAATTAACAATATGAAGTTATGGACTAATTATGCTAGTGTCCTAACTGATGCTAGATTACGGAATGAATGTTTGATGAGCTTGATTTGGCAATCGTGCTCGTACGAGTCACGTTCCGCAGCGTAGGCGCCTGTGGATGTTTGTGGATGTGTGGATGTGGATGTTTTCTATCAGAATGGGGTGAGTGCAAGGTGGGCAATCTTCGCAGGGGAGGGATGTCTCACACCTCCACCCTCAATTCGGCAACTATTTTAGCACGTTTTGTGAAAATGTTGCCGGAAGTCTCCCATTGGAGTTTTGTTCAGCCTGGTCTGTAGGCACATCATAAATATCTGTCCTCTCTGTTGAGATCGTCGGCAAGGAAACTTTTCCAGATTTGTATCGTTTGTAGGCGATGATGGTAGCGAGTGCACTTGCACTAAGTAGTGTCGCATAAAAGGGTACTGTAATATGTTATATTAAACAAAACCACAGAGGAACAATAATAGAAAAAAAAAACAATACACATAATTATGCAGCACCTAATTCACTGTCATGCGTGTCATAACTGATGCAATCGGGAATTGCTCTCAGTTTTAGCCACAAACGGTTTTTTTAACCGTTTCGTGGCGCTGATTTTCAGCAAGCCCGAGGCGAATGAGCTGTTGACAACAATAAATAATTAAACGGATAAGAAAACCACATAATAGGAAGTGTACATACACATGTGAAATACTTATAATATGTAAATAACAGTATATCAAGAAAATAAACTTAAATTCTAATATTTTTATACAAATCGCACCCGTCATGGAAGAATGGCATAAGTGAAGTTACGTGAAAAATGTATACAGAATAGTATAACCGACATCTTCTCCAATTGTAACTCTAACGACGATTTAGTAGATAGAGTTACTACAATTAGAGAGAACGTGAGTTATATTTTTCTGTATCTGATAGAGCAATAGTTATTTTTGACGTAACTTATGCCATTCTTCCATGAAGGGTGCGAAATTTGATATCATGAAATGTATAATTTTGTCAAGTATCGCGTCTACGCCGACGATATTTCAGCGCTTATATAAACTTCTTATTTGAAGGCGCCCTAAGAGCCTCAACAATTAACCACCAATTAGCATATACCATACTAATGCATGGTAGAAACAATATTTAAACTATAGCATCATAACTTATACGCTACCAATTGTAATTTGCAGATTGTGGCTTCATAGCCCACTCAAAGTGTTCAGAAAGAGTGCCAAACCACTGTGTACCAGATCTGAAGAAGCTACGTGGAGTGTTCGGCATTGATTTGACAACTTTACTAAATGCCCATTCAAGCACTTTGCCTTTTGTAGTGAGGAAATGTGTAAATGAAATCGAGGCGAGAGGAATGGATTCTGAAGGCATTTACCGAGTTTCCGGGTTCGCTGATGAGATTGAAGCTTTAAAATTGGCTTTTGATAGAGGTAATATTTTTAGCTAGTTAGTAGAGACTTATTTTTAATTTGAAATGAGCGTGTAAATAATATAATGTTAGTTTTAGTAAAAAAAGATATCGGCTAATTATGGCTAGCTCGGCAAATCACGTTCTCGAATAAAACTGAGAAATGCTAAATTCACGTGTTATATATTATTCATTTCAGTGAATTCAAAACTTTAAAACGCTCCCGTGTAAACTTGGTAATTTCGACATACGATTCTTTACGTAGGAGGGGTCTATATATAAACACATCTATCAAACTAAGTCTTGAATGTTGATCTTTAAAGTAATAACAAGAAACGAGTCTAATGCGCAGTCTACACTGCGAACGTAGCTAACTCAGCTCACGTAGCCGAGGCATCTTTTAATACTTTTTTTATAACATCATGTGACGGGACGAACAAGTCGTGCACCTGATGGTTAGCTACACGCCTGTCCATAACAGTTACACTGCCACTCAGAACTTTAAATTGCAAAGATCTGAGGGGTACTACCACTGCGCCCGTCACCCTGAGACATAAATTGACAAGTTCCATGTGCCTGTAAATTCACCAGCACCCTTACCCTTCTAAACCGGAACACAATAATGCTCAGATTAGTGCTTGGCAGCAGAAATAGGTAAGGTGGCAGTACTAACCTGGACGAATTCTTTCACACAAGGAGCTCTACTGCACTAATACTTCGGTTGACATCGCGAACTAAGCTAACCGAGCTAACTAAACTAACCCAACGATCCCGCTAGCTATTTAAAATAGTTGCACTTTTGCCGCCCTTTGCCTTGCCGCTATATTTTCTTTGCCTAGATTTGCATGCAACTACGTGAGTTAAGCTAAGTTAGCTTCGTTCGCGGTGTGGCCTGTACTTTATAGCAAGTAATCGTGTTTTAGACGGCGAAGCAGCAGATCTGAGTGCGTACAGCAACATAAATGTAATAGCGGGTACTCTCAAACTATATTTACGGTTGCTGCCTGTACCGCTCATCACTTACGAGGTTCATCCCAAACTTGTCGCCGCCATACGTAAGTTTCTTTAGTTATAATTATATTAATAAAAAGATCGAAACTAAGAAAACATTTATTCGATTTGCGTCTTTCAACAAACCGTGCTAGACACTATGCCAACTAAGCCGCGGAACGAACTAGCGAACCTTACGAATTTTTCTATGTGCTTGTTGCAGATCTTTGCTTTTGGGTTTTAAATACTTTTGAGAAAGTTATTTCTTCAGTTGCCATGTACCTTTATAGTACGAATCCAGCCCAATCGAAGGATTTTTTCTTAGTATTCGATCTTTCGAAGCCGTAAAAAAACAAGCACATAAAAAAATTAGTAAGGTCCGCTGGTTCGTTCTGCGGCTTAGTTGGAGTATCGTCTAGCACGGTTTGCTGGAAGTCACTGCTTCGAATCCAGCAGATCGAAGGAATTTTTTCTTAGTCACAAAAATAATTGAATATCATGGTGGTCAAACATCGCGACATTCAATAAAACTTAAAAATTTCTTTAGTTATTTTTATTATATGACGGTTAGGTTCCATCATGTGCGATGATTATGCTTCCACGTATGAGTTTTTTAATGGTTGTTTAATTTCTTTTTATTTTTCAGAAAATAAAACTACAGTATTGCAAGTGGCTATGTTGCGCGAATGCTTGGATCTCCTCCCTCCCGCACATTTCAACTGCCTTCAATACATGGTGCAACATTTACATAGGTGAGGCCCATTACAAAGCAATCGAAACAACGTATTTTTACAGAGTGTTATTATTTGACTGCCAACATTTAAAGAGTCTTGATTTATACCACTCGGTTAACCGCGTAAGCGAAAAACAGCCCGTGGCATTGATCTGTCGTTCCGGCTCTCTTTGAACTTTTTTTTCTACTTAAATCACTGTTTCTACGAGTCACTTGTCAAATTGTTGACAGTGTTCCCGTTTATACTACTGTCTATGAATTATCTGTGAAACTTTTGACAGTATTCCCATTTAAACCACTGTTCCTAAGAATTATCTGTCAAGGTTTTGATAATGTTCCCGTTTAAACTACTGTTTCTACAAAATATCTGTCAAACTTTTGACAGTGTTCCCGTTTAAACTACTGTCTATAAATTATCTGTCAAACTTTTCACAGTATTCCCATTTAAACCACTGTTTCTACAAATTATATGTCAAACTTTTGACAATATCCCCGTTTAAGCTACTGTCTATAAATTATCTGTCAAACTTTTGACAATGTCACCATATCAATGCCAGTGTTTTATTACGATTTACGCAGTTACGGGTTACATTCATGACCTACAATTTTAAAATATTTTTTTACTTTTATGGATTATAATAACTTCTTTTTCAGAGTATCCCAATATGCCGACGTAAACAAAATGAGTCCCCACAACTTGAGTACTGTGTTTGCACCAACGCTAGTCGCGACTCCAGCCGCTATAACTGACCTTGCGTGCGAAATTAGAGCACTGCAAACCCTTATTGAGTGCTGCCCGCAGATTTACTATGGGAACAAATAAAATTTAGTATGGGAACAAGGAAGTATTATACTCAACTGAGATTTGAAGATCTGATATACCTCAGCATCAAAACTATCTGAACGGCCAAAATAATCCAAAATGGTCAATCTGGTCACCTTAAAAGATTATGTTAATGAATTTATAATACATTTGAAATGGTTTTCAGTCTTAATCACAATAAGGTTGATTTTTGACTGACTTTAAAATGGAGATGGCTCTCAATTTGACCTTTTTTTGTGTGATTGTTACGCGATTTGCATTTGTCTGACGTGTCGTGTCGTGACACGTCAGAACGGTATCGGTTTCATATATTTAATATTGTTACATTTATATTAGTGTGTCGCAATCGGACGTGATGGCTTGTGTTGTATCTATGAAACCGATGCCGTTCTGACGCGTCACGACACGACACGTCGGAGAAATGTAAATCCGGTTTGACTCCGACATTTGAGAACCAATTCCGGCGAATCTTTTTTTAGTTGTTAAGGGGGTACCTCAGTAGTAGTCCCGTTCAAATTTGAAAAAATATTCCACCTCTAAGAGTGGAAAATTAGGGGATGAATCTTTTGAGGTCGGTTTTTTAATATAAAAAAGTTATAATTATTTTTGAAATATGTAGACTATTTTTGGATACTTTTTGTTTGATAAGTATATTTTTGGTTAATTCATAATTCATATATTTATTGCAATCATGTGGTTGACATGGTTTACATTTAAAAATATATACAGTATATTAATTTCACCGTTCCGTTAATTTTGATGCTGACTCAACTGATAGTACTAAAACTATTTTAATAATGAATGAGCCAAATACAACACTACCAATTGAAGCATTGGGTGTGACAAGGGCGTATCACTAAAAAGTGAGATTCGAGAAAATTGAAAATAAAGTTTTAATATCTTAATTTTTTTAAATATATAAGTATGACTTTTATATACTTTATTATTTATTTGTCCTATGATTTAGCTAAAAGATTCAGGTGTTATTATTATTTTAAAACAATTAGAAACATTTGAATTTTTTTTTCCTTGTGTTATCCACCCTTGTTGCACCAAATCGCTAAATTAATGGGGCGTTCGTTTTCTTATTGGCTTTAAGTGTTGGTTGTCACGTTAAAATTGTGACGACAGATAATCGCAACTTCAAACTATTCTGTCGTGCTAAAGACAAGGCGGCTGCCGTGAACCCATAAAAAGGTCGTCAGGATCTAGTGGGAACAGCTAGTCGTGTCTGGCCGTTTAACGAAAAATACACAAAAACGGGTCAACGCCATCTAGCGGTACCTAACTACATAAAATTGACCAATGTTTATAACATCTAAGCAGAAATTTTAACACAGAAATTTACATTTTTTCGAAAAATATTCTGTTCATTATTATATTCATCATTGTTATCGTAAAATATTTACATGTTAAGAAAAAAATTAGTTATATTCGCTGGGCACGTCCTTGCATTTTTTAATCACTTACACATTAGCTTTGCTACGAAAGAAAGCTAGTCAAATGAGGCTTCATTCAGTCATTAAAAAATCATTCTTATCTCAGATTTTTTAACACGCTTAATATTCGTCAGTATTCTCTACTAACTGAACTGAACAAAATATTATTTACATCATAATAAAATATTTTGTAAGCCTATAAAGACATGAAATGCGTAGACTAAGTATAAAACCACAAAATGAGATTATGGATATTAGTTAGTAGTAGCTATAGAGGGCTAACTGAATAAAACAGTGTTGCTATTTAAACCAGTGATAGTATTATTTTTTGTCAAACATTGACTGATAACTATTACAAAGAGTGGTAAACACTAAATGGCAACACTGCCAAAACAGCGTGAGGTCATTGACATTATATTCGTCCAGTCCAAAATCAGTTTGAAAAAATAACTTTTTGTTCCTAATTATCTCATTAGTAAAAAAAACTTGACGACTGACGGTGACGACCTTTGTGGTTGAGTGGTTTTCATAGTGTCGCCTTTGAGGTCCCGGGTTCGATCCCCGGCCGGGTCAATGTAGAAAAACTTGTATATTGTGTCAGGCCTGAGTGATTGTGGTACGGTTGTTGTTTCCGATTTGTATAACACAAGTGCTTTAGTTACTTTGGGATCGGAACAACGTGTGTGATGTTGTCGTAAGATTTATTTTATTTATCCTAAAAACTGGTTTGTGCTGGAACGACAGAATCAATAATACCGGGTAGTCTTCGGTCGTAAGGGGTCCATCGGGCTGTAGAAATAAGTCTATTTGTATTAAGCATTTTGATTTTAGTTTTGTGATCCTGCAATTACTTGATTGCTATAAGCAATGTTTGGAGAAAATACTGAAGTCGATTCTAGTATAGCTTCATTTAAGGTGCCTACAGATTGCTCGATTTTGTCGATCGTTATTGTGTTATTGTGGCTCAATGCCTTATGTTTTGACGGTCAATTAAATGAGTCAACCGTATAATACCGGCACGCTATTATGGCCGTTTTGACGTTTGTCCGCTCATCAAGTTTCGTATTAATTCATAACTACGTTGAAGGAGCTAATTGATTTACAATGTTGTCAATAGTGACGTGCAGCAAAATTTATGAATGTATAATTTTTTGACACAACTCAGCATTTGGTATTCGAATTAAAAAAAAAATGGAAATCTATACGATCGCCACTTATAGGATCGCTGTCCAGCACAACTTCGGCAAACTCGCGTCAAAGCTTAATGCAAAACAAAGCATTTTTGAATTGTCGATATATTAAGTAAACCTTTTTATTTTCGTTTTATTAAAACATTTTAATCATCTACCCCTTGCAATACTAGTTATAAATCTAAAAACTCATAGATGCGACTCGCACTTGGTTATATTTTTTCGATAATGAATTGAGATTTGATCTCACCATTGTAATCTGTCAAAACGGCGATCATAGCCTGCCGGTACTGTAATAGATTTCCTCGATATTTTCGATCGTTACTGTCATCTGTTAGCGGTCGACAAATCGTTATCTTATTTGACTCTTGTCGGTTTAGCCTCCTCCTCCACTCCTCACGGTTCATAGCTGTTCTTTGACCTCTTTATAGCTGTTCACTTTGATCTTCTTTTTTATTTGTTCACTATACGCCATGTCTTGGTCTTCCTCTCTTTCTTTTCCCTTCTATTCTCCCCTCAACTACCACTCACAATTTTGTTTAATGCTTACATATTTTCCCCCTTCTCTCTATTGCATTCAAAAGACTTCTCCCCAATCCGTTACTCGGTCGATTGTCTGTTGTTTACACATTTACTCGGTTTTGTCTGATCATACGTGTCAATCGACACAAATCGAGCAGATCTGTAGGCACCTTTAACCAATTATACCTGGACCCTCGCCATGTTGTGGAATTACTAATTACTTCTACGACCATTTGGTAATTTATGTCAAAAGCTAACGTCAGCGCCACCATTTCAAGGTCCGAACTTGCCAGTAGGACCATCAAAAAACGATCTTTCACCAACCAATAAATATTTCGTTGCTTTGACATATCCTCGCTGCTTTGTCAATATAACTCGCTACTATTGGTTGTTAAAACACGGTTCTTCTCCGTTCAGCTTTGGTGGATAATGTTAATGAGCCTTTACTTCGGGGATAGTATAATCTCATTTGACCTGATTATTTATAAGCATGCAATACTTCATAATTTTTATATTTGTAATTTTGTATTACTTTAACCAAACGTTTTCCAAATCTTATAAAAATTTATAAGTTTAAGGGTGTCATATAAATATATACACCATCAAAACAAGACTGTTGCCAACCAATACCGATGTTTCGGCTTGCCGAACCATTGTGGCAGTTCTCCGTCTTTCCTAGTTTCCCCAGACTGGCCTCAAGATTCCTAACCGTCTTAAAAACAACCTGACATTGAGGGACAATAATCCTCAAATTTAAGGTTTCTATGTTTCAATTTCTGAAATTCAGGGTGTTAGCCGTCTAATTCGAAACTTAGAGTCTTATGTATTATAAACACATTTGAATTTTGAAATCCATTACTGATTGAGTTTGAAATTCACGTTGAACGTCAGGCTGACCTTGAAGTTAGGTTACAAGGAAGTACCTTTATTACAAGTTTACAGTGACAGACGTCCTTGGCGACCATATACAATATGTGTATATCTTCATATAGCACGATTTAGAAAATACACAAAAACGGTTCAACGCCATCTAGTGGTATCTTGCCTAAACTACATAAAATTGTTACTTCTTGTGGCCAATAGGGTTACTATACAATTAGCCATACATAATTGGCAAATATTTTACGCGGTTCCTATTTGTTACTATAAACTCATGGTAATGGCACAAGTCACATCGGAAGGTATTGGAATCATCCGCATTTTGGTAGGTAATGCCTGACAAGAACAAAAACATGTATGATGTGCGGTGTGTACACAATGTTAGATATGACGTGTGTAAGATAATTTATTGTGATATTGGATTATTATTGGTCTTTGTAAAAGATTTGTTTAAAACCATTCCAGGTTGTGTATGAATATGTATTTTGTATTGTATTGTTTTTGTATCACAAAATGTTTTATTTATTAGTGTTAAGTGCGATAAATATTACTTAGGGTTGAATCTCACTAGAATTGATTAATTTTTATTTTATAATGAAATAAAAAAGAGAATACGAAATTAATAATAAAACAAACATGGTAGCCAATGTTTCGCCATAGCCCGTAATATTTAAGAACACAATAAATTAACGAATGTGTATGTGACAACTAAGCAAAAACTCACATACATGAGTAGAAACTAATTAAAACACTAAAATAAAGGCACATATTAAAAGAATCCTACAACTCACACTGCCCCGCTTAGGAGAAGTGGCGGTTATTCTATATTTTGAATGAAGTATATTCAAAATAAACCCAACGTATAGCTGTAGATTTAATTTTTTATAATATACTATACTCTCGCCAAATTCGATGTAGAATGTTTAATAACAAAACGTTGCTAGGCAACCAATGATGGCATAAGAAAAGAACATTTTTTTCCATGCTCACTATTAAGGCTTGCTCTGCCCACGGCCTGCTCCCTTAATTGTAATTTAAATAGGTAGGTAGGTAATTGGGCTATGCAGAAGTAATACTTACCTAGCCAATTATAATAAAGTACAAAAATACCTATTGAC